AGGGTAGAGAGGGCAAAAGGGAGGGAAGGAGGGAGGGAGGGCTTGGGGGAGGGAGGGAGGGAGGGAGAGGGAACTGGGATCGACATGTAAAATAATAATAAAAAAAAAAAAAACGCTTTGACTCCAAAATTTAAGTTGAAGAACAAGTTACTGGGGAAAAGTATTTCTATTTTTGTTTCCACAGAAAATGAAAAGATGTGGATTCCTTCCAGACTAATGTGGTTTCATCACACCAGACCGCCTGAAACAGAGTACAAGCTGATCCTACATTCCAAACAGCTGGACAAAACAGCCCTACAGACTACAGCTAGGATATCTGAATCTTCTTCGAATCCCCCAAGACAGCGCCCCTTACCAGCAGGAAGTAGTTTGGAAAGAACGACGCCCAAATTCCCAAATATTGTGTATAAATGTTTGTTTTCATTTGATTGGACTTTGTTATATAAAATTAAATAAAAAATACTCTATATGCATAAAAAAAATAAAATTAAATAAAAAATACTCTATATGCATAAAAAAAAATAAAGTTAAGACAAGGAAAAAAAATGTAGAGTTCAATTTCAGCAAATTACTTAAATAAAATGTGGAACTCCTTAAAAAAAAAAATAAAATTTTCTCTAGAGTACAACATATAGTTGACTACAAAATAAATCTTAACATGTTTGAAACACTGCAGCTATAACTTGTTTCTTTTCTGATCATGACAATGAAAAGAATAACAACAAGAGAAACATTTAGACATCACTGAAATAGATACTTTTCAGCATACCTTTAAATTAACATTGGATCATGTATGCTATCAGAAGAGAGATGTAAAAACTTATAGGTTTCAGTGAGAATTGAAACTTAATATACCAAAACCTGTGGGATCCCAGGATTTATGACAAAGAGTGAAAACAAAAAAAAAAAAAAAAAAAAAAAAATAGAAAACTTAAAATGAACAATCTGATGATTCATCTTAGAAACTAAGAAAATCAAGAAAAAATTACACCATACAAAGGTTAAAAAAAGGGAAGAAAGTTGGGCTGCAGATAAAGTAATGAGTATAAAGGAATGATATAAAAGACAAATGGAAAAATCAGTGTCTAAGGTAAACAAACAGCACATGTCTATCTAGAACAAAAGAGAGAAAGCAAAAACAAATAAAATCAGAGATTGGAAATGGATTATTATAGCATATGTCCTTGAAACTCACAGGAGCTCCACGGAGATTTTATTGAAGAACTATATTTGAACAGATTGGAATATCTATAAGAAATAAACAAATTTATGGGCACAAATGGCCCACAAAAATTGATCCTGGTGGTTTTACTCATCTGAATATATCAGTAACAAATAACAAATAACAAGAAATCAATATTATCTTAGAAAGAGAAGCTCAGGGTAGCCTCCTTTTACTGCTAGATCCCACCATACATGTAAAGAAGGACTAGAGGCAGTTCTCAAGCTGCCCCACAGACCTGAAAGGGAAGAAGCCTTCCACCTTCTGTGAGACCAGAGCTGCCCTGTTCAAACACCCTATAAAGCCACTGAAGACAAGCCACCAGCTCAACGTCTCTATTAACATGTGTGAGCATCTTCAGCATGACACTCCAGAAGAACTCTGGCAACCTGCTGAATGCATCCAGACAAGCTGGTTTCATTATGGATGTACAGCTGGTTCATTTTGTATATTGGTAAGTGAAACATCCTGGATAACATTTAACACCATTTCATGATAAAAAATCCTTGGCTAAATTAAATGTCATGACTTAACATAAAGTTTATATGCAATAAACTCAAGGACAAAAATCTTCCATATTTGCAGGTGATATTCTATTGCAGAAAAACAAAAAATATACTCACAAAAGAAATCTTAGAAGTTATAAAAATTTCAATAAAATCCCAGCCAACAAAATCAGCAGGCCAACCAGTAGCTTTTCTGTATTGCAAAAAATACTTGCTGAACAAGAAATCATGAAACAACCAAATCATAACAGTCAGGACATACCTAGAAATAAATCTAGTATGTGAAAGATAACAATTATAAATACAAACTGGTGACAAAACATATTAAAATGACAAATACAAAATGGTGACAAAACAGATTAAAGAAGGCACCAAAAAATGGAAAGACTTCACATATCAATGGACACTGTAATGGCTTTGTCATAATTAATATCATTTAACTGTTCATACTCTTCAAACAAGTTGCAGAGCTAATGCAATTCCCATCAAAATACCAACAATACTATTTACAAAACTAGAAAAGAAAAACCCTAAAATTCATATAAAAGTCATAGGGAGGCACAAAATACCACAAATAGCCAAAGCAATGTCAACCAAATTTAGAGGCATCACAATACAGGATTTCAAAACTTATCATAGCCATTATATCCAAAATAGTGTAGTGCTGGTGTAAGAACAGATGCCTAGATCAATGGAACAGGACCAGCATCTCAGAAACAAGCCTGTAATGTCTAAAGACAACTGTTATTCAACAAAGATACTAAAATAAGAAATAAGAAACAGACAACAAACAAAGCACCAACAAAACCTGTATTGAAGACTTTCTCTTCAACAAATGGTGCTTCAAAACTCAACATAAATGACGAACAGCTTTAAACTTAACCCAGACCACTTAGCCTGTACAAAGCAAAACCAAATTGGAGCAGAAGTCTAAATGTATGTCCACAAAGTCTGAATCTCCTAGAAAGAAGTCTAGGAGAGACATTTCAGACTACTCACACAATGATTTTCTGCATGGGATCCCAAATGGATAGTAAAAATAATTACACAGCTACAAAATTTCTACATAACAAAGAACACAAAAGACAAAATGAACACACAGCCTTAGAATGAGTGAAAAATCTTGTTATCTACTTTTTAATAAAGGGCTTATATCTAGAATTTATAAACAACTAAGAAGACTCACAAATTCACCAGTAACTCAATTAAAATTAGCAAACACTTTATTTTCTGTGTATGAGTGCATGTATGTCTCTGTAGCATATACAGGCCCAATGCCTGTGGGGGCCAGAAAGGGCATCAGATATCCAAACTGGAGTTACAGATGGTTGTGAGCTGCCAGACACAGAGACAGGTACCATGATTTCTCTTTTACATGAGAATTAAAGTAACCTGGAAGGGTAGTGAGTGGGGAGTAGGGTTGCTTGGGGCTGGAAGGAGGTTGTTGGATATGATTCATGTAATATATGTAAATATGAAACAATCACATAATATTAAAGTGAATTTTGAATGTAATACATTTTTGTCAAATAAGTACATTAAATATTTTTCTACCATATAGGTGACTTTTCTTTTTAATCAATCTAGTTCCTTGTAGCAAGCTCTTTTTTTTTTTTTTCAAATTCAAAAGCCATGGAAATATCTTTATTTTCTAGACTGTTTAATATCTTATTTTTCATATCTAAAAGATGGATCTTTTTGGGCTTAGTTTCTTTATGTGACATGAAATAGTGATAAAAATTCATTTCCATCATGAAAATCCACTTGGCCTAGTATGTTGGGCAGTAAGAAACCTTCCCTTTACCATGAATGCACAGATCTTGTGTCAGAAGTCACACACATGTGCATAGATATGGATCTTGATTCCTGTTTGATGTACACAGTGCTTTTTAAAAATCATTACAGCTTTATAAACATCTTGATATCCAGGTGTAAAAAATACTCATATGACAACAGAAAGCAGAGAATTAGTAAAAACTAGCTAGTCTATGCTAAAGCACTCATTTTTAAAAATTTGTTTTAAAATCTATGTTACATTTACTTATTTATTTAGTGTGTGTGTATAGACCTGCGTCCCATGGTGTGCATTTAGATGTCAGAGGACAGTTTGCAGAAGCTGATCGTCTCTTCTATCTTGTAGATCCTAGGGATTGAACTCAGATCATCAGGCTTGGTGGCAATTGTCTCTGCTTGCAAAGCCATCTTGCTGGCCCAAAGTGTTTTATTATTTTTGAAAGATAATGTTTCATTACCATAAAAATCATACATGTTATTAAAGCCTAGTAGAGAAGTATAAAGAAGTGACATTAACTTCAGTGCTATTCTAGGTCCCTTTATGGTTTGCATTCCTAGTCTTCTCTTTCTTCACATTTCATTTTTATCCATTTTATATATGTACACAGCCAGCTTCCAAATCTGGACTTATATGCCTTTTGTCATATAGTGCTAATATTATGTGACGTCTTTTGCCATAGTATCAAATACCTCTGAAACAAGACAATTTTATTCATGTAATAATGTCTTGTCACATTCATGCCTGAAACATGGGATTTAGTTAGTTCATGACATTCCATTTTTGTTACTGTACATCTATTTGGAATTTATAATTTTAGCAAAGTTTTTTGAACCTGTGAGAAAGCGAGTGTGTCCCATGTTGGTCATTTGTTAGAAGCTAAAGTGCATTATAAATGGAGAACAGAAGAATAGGTGTGGCATCCAAGATGAATAATGCGTGAGCTGAGCCAGAGATGTAAGTCACTTACTTAGTCTGTTCAGATTTCATTTCCCCATGAATAATACAGGTTTAAAACAACAGATCTCACTAATGAAATTCTGTAAGTATGAGAAACTTGAGTTAGAGGAACTGACTACTGAACATTCAAATACCATTTGAACTTAAAAATGACTCATTGATTCCCTACCCATTCCTCTAGAATTGCACAGCATTTTACAAAACAAGTGAATATTTTGCATTTAATAATGACAGGACAGATTCATGTTGGAAAAAAATGCACACAGGATTGCACGAACCACTGTGTATATGTGTGGTGGGTGTTGAGCAATATCGTGTATCAGAACGAACTAGCACATAACAGAATTGTTTTCTGAATGACTATTTTCCAATGTTTTAAAAGATCTTTTCCCACTGGAATTTAATATATCATTTTAAATATATCATTTCACCCCCTTGGTGAGCATGTCCCCTAGTGGTGACAGAGCAGTCACTATGCTGTGGAAACGATCATCTTGTATAGCAGCATCCCTCATGGCCCTTAATCTTCTCTTTCTTGTCCAGCTTTCCTGAGCTGTCTCTTTAATTGCTCACAGAAAGTGTCCCAGTCCACCTCCCCTTGGGACAAATCAAAATAGTCCTCTTTTTTGAGCCATCGGGAGAGGCGGTGGTAGCCATGGAGCTTCTGCCTATCAATGGGTTCCAGAAACAGCAGTAGGAGGCGAGCTGTCCCAGGCCTGGCCACCAAGTGGTAAGTGGCCAGTCTTAACTCTAGATTGCACCAGGGACTTGCTAAGGCCTGGCCTGTGAGCACACAGAGGATGGATCTGCTTTTGTGCATGCTGGCAATCATGGATTCCATCCTGTCATTTCCAATCCCAAAGTCCCTGGCAGGCAGGCACAGCCTCAAGCCCTCACCTTTGGGAGGGGGTTTCTCCAAACCAGGAACCAGTTCTTCCAGCACCCAGGCTTGGTCCTTTTCACAATAGGATATAAAGACATCATAATTGAATTGGCCTCTGAGTCTATGTCCACCTAATTTCCACCAACAAGCACGCAAGAGTGTCTGCAGGTAATGAAGCCAGGACCATTTATGACAACCAACCAGAGGAAGAATGGTTAACAAAAGTATCAAAGTAAAACTGATGAGAAAACCCCAAAACTCAGTGTCATGCGGACAGTGAGTAGCAAGGAAGGAGAACAGTAGAGTGTTGGAGTAGTCAGAAGTATTGGCCATGCAGATGGATTTCTCCAGTCCATAAACAAAAGTGTTTGGGGCCTGTGTAGCCCAAGACTCCACCCAGGAAGCTTCACACTGGCAGGTGAAAGTGACATCTGAGAAATAAACATATGGAGGCATCTGAGGAATAAACTCCTGGAGGTTGCCGTCCATCTCCAGGGACAACTCAGAGCTGAGCAGCAGGAGTTTGAGGTGGTGCAATCCCTTAATGCTGGATACAGAGAGGTTTCTGAGATTCAGGTGGCTCAGTGCCAATGCCTGTAACTGAGGAACCTCCTTCAGTAGCATCTCTAGCTTCACAGTACTTGACTCATAGAAAAAGTTAAGGTACCCAAACTCTAGCACACGCAGCCTGGGCATCCCAAATAGATTGAGGTCTACTGCATTGTCATTTTCACACCAGATAGAGAAGTGCTCCAGGAGAGGAAGCTGTTGTGGGAAGAATCTTTGTAGTTGACTGGTTGAGATTATGAGGCTGTAGCCACGCAAGGTGAGGCGACGCAGGGAGGGAAAATGGATTGTGGCTGTGTCTGGTTGCCGTAGTACATTGGAGGTCTGTAAAGTAAGGTTCTCCAAGAATAAGAATGGCTCTCCACTGAGAAACATAAACTGAACACACGCTTGTGCTTGAATTTCTAGGCTGAGCAACATTGGAAACCAGGGAGGGTAGATGTCCAGCATTGTAACAGAACCCAGTTTTAGATGTCTCAGCATCTGGGGACCCTGAAGTTGTATGCCTGAGATATGCTCTAAGTAGGTGCCCAGAAGGTTCAGGGTGGTCAGAGCAGAAAGATGAGAGAGCCAGCCTGGTTTGAGTACTTTAATTTGATTCCAACTCAAGTCTAGAGTCCTCAGACCCCTCAGTCCTTGCATGCTCACATTGGATAGACTAGAGATGTTATTGCCACTCAGCCAGAGCTCCTGGAGTTGTGGAAGAAAGGCTCCATGGGGCACATCACATAGCTGATTGTGGGATAGATCTAGCACTCTTAAATTTGTGCTAAACACTCCTTCTGGAATCTCCAAGGTTGGGCCCAACTTATTCATAGACAGGTTGAGCTTCTGAAGTTGGGGTAGAGTGCGTAGGAACCTGATAGGAAGTGATTGCAGGTGGTTATCATGAAGACCAAGGAATTCCAGAGCTTTATAACTTGGGATATCTCCATTCTCCAAGATGTTTTGTATTTGGTTCTTTCCAAGGTCAAGTGCACGAAGCTTAGAGTAGCCCGTGACAGTCCCCGGCAATTTTTCTATACCTGTACCCACAAGGGAGAGGAAGTCCAAGTGGAGCAGTCCAGAGCCTGTGAGGTCAAATGCTCTTAGTGTGGTACCATCCAATATTAGGGAAAGGAGCTTGAGGCCATGCAGGGCTCTGACATCTGCCTGCTTCAACTGAAGGTTGTAAGATAAATCCAGCACCTCTAGGAAGGGTGCTCCTAGTGTGGTACTGGATGTAGGAGAGGAACCAAGCAAAAGACTTGGGAAGAACCTTTGTAGTTCTTGCAACTTTGTCAGGCAACTGTTCCTTAGAGTTAGATGCTTAAGGCTAGTTGGCAAGTAGATGTTCTGGCTATAATTCAGGCAGTAGCCTTGAAAGGAAAGACTACGGAGGAATTTGAGAGTCTTTAAACAATTTGGAGGGAGGAACAGACTCAGGCAACAGGGAGCATGATGCTCAAAAAAAAGGTACTGTAGCTGGTCCAGTCCTTGAAAAGTCCTAGAAGTAATATTAATTGTACCCAACTGCAGCCTCAGAAGTTGTAGGGAGTGGAAGTTATCAAAGGCATTATCTGGCAGAAAAGAAACCATGCCCTGGAGGCAAAGCACCTCTGTATCTCTGGGTACTCTTTCCAGTGTCTGAGCCATGTCTTTAACATTCGTGCAAGATGCCAAAAGGTGCAGTCCTGGTGCCAACGTACAGAACTGGATATAGTAGGAAAGGTTAGGAAATAGCAAGCTGTCTGCTATGATGCAATTAGGGGCAGTCCATGCCCAGCTGGTCAAGTCAAGGCTCACCAAAGCCAATAGTAACAGAATGAAGAAAAGAGAGCACAACTGAAGTCTTTCCATCCTTGGCATTGATTCTAGGAAAATAGAGGGAAAAGATTGAGTACCAACCAATCCAATCCTGGGGTGTCTAATATGCATCATATCCTTTGGATTTAGGGACATGTTGGGAACATCCCTATAATCAAGAAACGAGTGACAAATTTTCCAAGTCAGAGACTAAAGTTGTGCACACTGATGGGTGACTCCAAGCAGGCAGGAAACCAGAGGAGAATAAATCACAGGGCAATAGGAGGCCTAAGATAAGCCTATGATGGTCTGATCTCCCTGGGGATGACTGGCTCAGACTGCTAAATTCATTGAAGGAAGCCATCATCCAAAACAAGGCATCAAACTGACTTGTTCAATAGTGGGTACACTGAACGAAGAAACAGTACTACTGACACCTTTACATCTGAACAAAATTCTTAGCCATGTGGTACAGTCAGGCTGTTGTCCTTTATTCTTGAGGCCATGAAGCTAAAGTACTTGCAGTAGAAAGTGGCAGACTTGAGTTTGTATTTTTCCTATCAGGGTTAATAGTCTGATATAAAAGTCCTCAGATAGAACTAAGGAAATTATTTCAAGTGGATTTTAGGGTTGAGCTTAAGGAGAAACTTTAAAAAAGAAAATACTTAAGGAAATAAAATTGGCTAATGAAACTTAACAAAAGGAAATACTGTCTTGATACATTTAAGCTTGGATCTTAGCACTGAGGAAGCTGGGTGGTGGTGATGGTGAGCTGACTGCATTCTCATAATTCATAGCTTTTCTCTCATGACAAAGCTTTGGAGTGACCATTGTGAAGTGAGTGGCCATCAAAGTTCCCAAAAGGTCTGGAAGAGACAGGAGAGTATCTTGTCACTCTGGGGATGATAGACACCAGAGGATGTCTCTGCTTTCCTCTGGTTACTATTTCTCCTGTTTGCTAACACACTGGCGGGACTGAGGCATCTTTTGTACATTGAGCTCTCTCAAGCTCCTGTGCCTCATATTTCAGTGAAGTTCAGAGGAGGCCAGGGGAGAGGAGGCGGGGGACTTCATCATCTAAATGGCATGACCTCATTGTAGACACACTTGGGTTAGCTGATCTCCATCTCTCTACCTCAAGGCTTATCTTTTCACCCTTTTAAAGTTTATTTTCCCCTGAACTTTGAAGTGTCAAATAGTGTGCCATACGGATTCAAGCTTCCCTTTTCATTTTAGTTTATCTAGGATGATGTCAGGGACTGGAGTAGATCTCAGATCAAGGAGACACAGTGACCTTAGTACTGAGACCCTGGCACTGTAGAAGTCTGGGATAGATAATTGCTTCTGTCTCAAGATATCAAGTTTGATATTATAACTCTGAGAAATATACAGGATTGTCTGTGAGCTTCCATATTCCAGTTGATCACCTAACCTGTGGTAAATCTAACCCATCTGTCCTCGGGCTGTACCTGGTCACCTGTGGCTCTGGTCTTTTGCTCTCTGAAGAGGCAGATACTTTGTAGTTTGCTTTCTTCCCTGACAGTGCCATTAACTGCTCATCTGCTTCATCCATAAATTTCTCGGGTATTAGGACAGCATTCCTTACCTTTGAGAAAGGAAACAGAGGGTGGTGGAGACAGATTCAAGTTTTCAGGAAGAGTTCTTTTTCATCTTCAGTAGCAAAAGAAGAAAACCTTTGTCTTCTGGGCGTCTTCCCTCCACAGTGGCTCAGCTCTGCTGATTGGAAGTATGGATTTTCTGTTATTAGTGCTATGTGGGCAGTTCTAGGGAAGAGAGGGAGTGCTTAGTTAATTTGAGGAAAGAGGGTGTAACTTTTTCCCAGACTGCCTCCTTTTCTTTCACAGTTTCATGACTTCCTCTTTTCTATTCTACTCTGGGAGTTTCAGTTCTCATGTACTATGTATCCTATTCTCCTGACATCTGTAAAAGCATCTTGAATTTGCTGGACTCTTCTCTGTCTTTAAGGTAAGAGAAGCTCATGTCTTCTGCCATTTCTACACATCCTTTGTCCTCATGTCTACCTCTTCCTTTGTTACTATGAGGGTCTCAGGTATCCTGTGATGGAAGGCTCAGTTCTTTTTTCTGTCAAATAATGAGCAGAACTAGACAAGGAGTGGTAGGAGTGAAAATGGTAGTGAAAATGGTAGTAAAAGCACAGCCTCCACTCCACAAGAGATGTTAGCTCCGACAATCATGCAGACCAGAAGTGGTGAGGGTCCAGAGGTTTTACTATCGAAGGGAAATGAAGAGTTTTCTGAAGGGTGGGTCTTTATTTGGATTCTAGAGGTGATTTGATTTCTTTATTTGTTGGAAGGGGCTCATATAATCCTTGGAGCAATCAAGGGCAGTTCCAGTGATGGTCTTCCTTGGTTGATGGGTCCCATAGTAAGTCATGCAAGTCTGATCCTGTTAGTCCTGTTATATGCATGCATGAGTGTGTGCAAACAGCTGTGAGGAGACCAGAGGAAAGCATAGGTGTTGGTACTGGACATTTATCTTGTTTTGAGTGGGGTCTCTGTAGATTTGGCACTGTGTATGCCAACCTAGCTGGCCCAAGAGCTTCCAGGGTTTCTCCCATCTCTGCTTTCACTTCCCTATGGTTCTGGGATTACAGGTTTTCCTTCCGTATATCTGCCTTTATAAGTTCTGTGGATTTGAATGTAGGTCCTCACACTTGGGCGGTAAGTGTGTTTACCCACTGGACCAATTCTTCAGCCCCTCTTGTGTCTTGCCTTAATACCAAGTATCACATCCCTTATCTCCTTTAGGGCAGGAAGTTTGCAGAAGAGCCTATAACCTTACTACAGGGAGCCCAGTCTTCCCACCAAGGCTGGGTGTGCAGAAGAAAGGGGAGAAGTGGAAGAAGGTGGGTTTATATATAAATGGCAAAATACTTTCCAGATAATACAAGTTATGGGGATGCCTATATTCAGATTAGTTTCTGGATCCATTTGTCTGAAATTGTTTGTTCAAATTATTGTTTTAAAATTAGCATACAATTAACAAGTTTCATTAATAATTTCATACACACTTTGTGCTCTCTTTCAGGTGATTCCCCTCCTACTCTTTCCTTCCCCTTCTCCCACTCCAGCCCTTCAGTCACCTTCCTCTCCTCTACAGGTTGGCTTCTGTCACATGTATTTGATTAACCACTTTCCCTCCCTCTTTCTCCATCAGTTCTAAGATCTCTGCCCTTTCATGCTCTCCTTTTCTAGTTTCATGACCTACAATCCCCTCCATATCTCCAGAACATACTCACATTTGCAAATATTTAAGAAAGTTTTCTCCACACATCCCAGAAAGCACAACATTTATATTTCTGAGGGAGGCTTATTGACTGAAACCTTGTTGAACATTATTTTCCATCTGTTCTTACAGGAACAGTGATGTGAGTTTGATTTGGGAGATATTTAAATCGTTCTATTGTTTCTTGTGTTAACTATTCTGTTTTGAAGTACCTTGTGTGAAGTTTCTATTGTGTTAGGAATATTAGATAATAATATAACCAGAGCACACAACATACACACAAGAACTGGAGAATGGTTTAAATTTATTTTTATATATATTCATTAGTTTTGAATAAAACATTAAGTTCTGCCTGTTTTCATTTTTTTGAAAAATAGAATTCCATAGTTTCTTCACCAATATTATTGTTGTGAGGGCCTTGATTTTTCTTTTTATAATTTATCTTTCAAAGCTTTTATATGCACTCGATTTTTCCTGCTATTTGGATATAAATATTTACATAAAAGGATGACCAACTTCCCAAAGAAACCACTAAAGTTCTAAACTTCCATTGCTATATTGTCTTATTTTATACCTAATGTGATCTTAAGTTTATTCTGGTAACAATGTGACCAGCTTAAGAAGTTCACTTTTTTTAAATATCACCTTTTAAATATTTTTATATTTGGGAAATTTATAACATAATTTTTAATAATATTCTTCCCTCCCAACTCCTCCCAGTTCTTTCCCTGCCTCCCCTCTCCACCTAACTTCATGTTTTTTCTCTCTCTTAAACAAAACAAAACATACAATCCTGTTTGTGTTAGCCAACTGCTCCTGAATAAGGGGCCTACTCTGGAGTATGGTTGACACATCCAGTTTCACTTCATTGAAGGGAACTGATTCTTTTTCTTAGCAGCTTGCAAATGCAAAGAACTTCTTGGCTAGGGCTGGGATTTTGTGCCCATTTCCCCTCCCCCCTGTGTAGATATTTTTTTTCTAGCTTGAGTTTATGCATATTGTCATAGACAATGTGAGTTCAAGTGTGCATCAGTCCTGTTGTGTCTGGAGAACATGGTTTCCTTGAAGTTTTCTACCAGTTCTGGCTCTTACAAATTTTCTTCTTCCTCTTCTGCATAGATCCTGAACCTCCAGGTGTGCTGAATACCAAACCAAACCAAACCAAACCAAACCAAACCAAACCAAACCTTCCACGTATGGCTAGTGATCCAAAGTCTCTCATTCTCTATGTATTGTCCAGTTGTGTGTCTCTGTATTCAATACTTGTCATAATTATGGCTTCTTTTGAAGTGATAATACACCACGAACAAAAGCAACTAGGAGAGGCAGGGGTTAATTCCATTTTAATACTTTCAGGTCATGGTCTATTACCAAAATAGAAGCCAGCAAAAGAACTCAAAGAAGGAACCTGGAAGCAGGAACTAATGCAGAACCATGGAGAACACTGGCTACTGGCTTATTCTTCATGGCTAGCTTAGCCCTTTCTGCACAACAGAGAATCACCTGCCCAAGGGTGACAGTAATCACAATGGGATGTCCCCTGTATCAAGTCACTAATTCATAAAATGCACTGTAGGCTTGGTCATCAGTAAGTCTGGTAGGGGCATCTTCTCAATTAAAGTATCCCAAATGACTCTAGCTTATGTCAAGTTAATATTAAAACTAGCCAGCACAATTACAGTCTATTGCAAGAGGAAGCTTATCTGATAAGGGTTGAGCAATGCACTGATTTATCTATGGGTATAATAATACATTATTGGTAGTAGTTTTGTTGCCATGTTAATTTAATAGAATAATAGTAGGTT